TGTGTATGTAAATGTAAATGTTTTCATTATTTTCTTATTCTATTGTTTACAGTTATTATCACGTCTTAGCTTTACACCAAGAATTACAATAGAAATTCTTGATGGGATGCGATGTAACGCGCATACATTATTTTCATCAAGCACTATAATATATATATATATATATATATATTTGGTTTTTTTTACCAGTAGAGTTTCAACAAAATCTTAAAAAAGTTCAATGAATTAAAAAAATGCCAATAATTATATAATTTCAAGTCAGTGTTTTACATTTAAAGATCAGTTATAAAGAACCAAAGTTATTATTTTCATTTTGATTAATTTAATTCGCGACTAAAATAAATGTGAAAGGGCTTTTATCTGCAATAATACGAGTAATTTACGTCAAAAATAACATAGACTTATAAAAGTCATATACACGGTCAATCATACTGAAGATTATCAATTGACTACAAAATATTTAAAAGACTATTTCCAGTATAATGACACAAATATCATCATTAATGTTTGACTGGCACACTTAAAAGTTTTATCACATGGCTAAAAGATTGACTTTTATATTATGATAAGGTCATGCTTTTCTATAAAAAGTTGCAAGAAATTTTAAATCACGGACCTATTGGTTTGTTTTACTTTTTACTTAATCAGTGAAAAACAAGATGGACTGATCTAAATGATGAAAAAAATCTGTTTATTTTCTTGTGTAAAAAGTGCTATTTAGAATTTTATGCAAATGATAATTAAAGTTTCCATGTAAATAAGTGTAACATAGCGGGTATTATACTCAATGGTAGCGGCCATCCATATTTGCAAAGCCAGCATCTTACAGAAACCGGCAAAGTGTTGTTCAAGGCACTATAAACAAAGCAGCTGATAAATGTTACACACATAACTGTTGACAAAAACTGTTTCCGCAAATGGTCTTATAGATAACAATAAGTATTCCGCCGTGTTAGGTGCAGGAGCTATTATTAGAAGGAGAAGAGGTAAAATTTTGTTTTAGAAATGCGCAATCAATATTGTTTTGTCTGCAATTGAGCATAAAATAAAAAATAACTTCAACCAAAGAGCATAACTGGCATTATACTCAGGCCCATCAATTGGTATGGAAAAAAATAATTTTACCAGGTTTAAAAAAATCAATCAAAATTCAAAAAAACATAAATATTAAAATCAAAAAATGTATATATGTATGTCTATACATACATATAATGATTTATGGCCGCTTAGTAACTGACGGTGACTCACTATAACATCCTACAGTCACGCCGAAACTAAGAGGAGAGAATCACTGTAGAAAAGGTAATAATTTATTGTGGAAATTTTGTGATAAATTTTAAAAAATTATAGACTTATCCAAGTTAATCTAACTTAGTCTAATTTATCCTTATGCGTTACAAAAAAAAAACAAATAATAAAATAGTGAGATGGCGTCAGTTTTTAAGAAGATATAACAAAAATAACCAAAAAAAATAAATTTCAAAAAAGTTCAGTATTTAATTGATTATATACCGCTGACACTTAATCACGCTTTTCGAAACCACGCCAGTTGTAAACAATACTTGTGTGAAAAGACAAAACCTACTTTTCAAATTTCCGCCGAGTTGTAAGTAGAAGGCCAAATACATAGAAGTATTAGGCTTAGAACCGCAGTAGGCGCACGCACAGTGAAGCCATTTCAAGTTAGCCTTTAAAGGCTAAGTACGACTTTTGACGCGTTAGTACTCGAGTCCACGTAGTCATGGAAACAGCTCGCACATTTTTTCAAAAAAATGACGTACTGTACTGTGAAAGGGTGTCACAACTCATCACATAATCACGAAAAAAATGTAAAAATCTCATTTCACGTTTAACTACTGCCTAGCATCTTATATTTTTGTAAAAAACATTCATCAACACAAAATAATAAATAATAAATTTGACAGACGCCAATATAATGAAAATGTTGCTAGGCATAGTAAAATATTTTACCCCATTTTTTTCTTATTAATATTATAATTATAAAAAAATGCATATTGAAAAAAATACATACATACTGCCAATAGTCTCATTCACATATAAATAGGTATTTTTATTTGCCAAATATTATTAGGGTTCCCCTTTGCCACGAAAAAAAATATGTTGATTTTATTTTGTTTTGATAATGTGCAGTTGTTTTTACCTTTTTATGGTATGTGTTTTAGGATAAATAACATAGCCTATGATTATTTTTTTTATTCTTAATTACATATATTTAACATTTTTAGTTCGATTCTTTTCTGAATCTAAAAAAGATAACATTTCGAGGATAGCGTCATCAAAGCGGCAGTTGTTTAGAAAACATTTGCAGTTTCAGGGTGATTAAGAGATATTTTTTTAAGTACTTGGGTATATTTCATTTTATATTTTTTAATAAACATTTTTAATTTCATGTTTTATTTGAATAGTTATCTCCTTCCGAATCTTATTTTGTTTTAATGCAAAACATAATATCCAATAAAGTAATAATAAATAATCACTTGAAACTGACCGCACTCTTAAGTCTCGTGATTCCTTCTAATATTATATCCATTCTGTGAAAGTTGTATGTTGTAAATTTTACGTTGAAACCGATTTAAATTAAATATATCACGTAGATTCTTAAAATGGCACGAATTGAAATCAGTGTATGCTTTAATATACGAGTGAAGCCGCGGGTCACAGCCAAAGTTAGTACGGAATTACTAATGAAAAAATATCTGACAGTTAAAATAATTATCTGACAACTATTCACTTGTTAAATTTAAGTGGGACTGGATTGGAAAAACTGGAAGAAATAGACGTAGGCATTTGCCTCCTCCATTTCTTCCACTTCTCTATTAATATCATAGAATAAGGCCATTGAGTATTATATAAAAATTAATATTTACAAATAGTATAACATTTTATGGTAGATAAGTAAAAAAATATTTATATAAATATACCGCTTCTAACAGAATAATATAATTACATAATAGATTTGTTATTATAACACAAGATATTACGTATATAAATAATTTAAATATTACACAAGTTAACAAAAATAAATAATGTTACATTTTTCTCTTTGCAAATAGTTAATAAATAATTATAAACGCAACCTAAATATTAATTCTATGACGATGTCCACTATTACATTTTCCCCACTTTTTGGGGAAAATGTCATTAACTTGCAAACATTACTGAATTGCTTATGTGGGTGTGGGCAAATGTAATTACAGGCCGCTTGTGCACACATTCATTGCGTTGTAGCTTCAACTTTGAACGGAATTTTGAATGTCACTATCACTCTATGTGTAATTACTCTAAGGCCAAATAGGTCATGTGTCAATTTTAATTAAATATATTTTATATGAAGTGATCTTGACTACGTTTCATCAATTAACCTTTGGTAAAAAATAAAACAGGAATTTTACAATTGTGTTTACAAAAAACATTATTAGTTGAACCTTGCAGCTTGTTCATTATTTTTATTATAAATACCTATAAATGTATATATTATTAATAAATAGTTCCCATAATCTTTTGGATTATTTTTTATTTTGCCCTATCTGTAATGTTCTACGCTCTATAGAAAATGTGGCGTATGATATGACTGACAATCTTTCGAACGTTTTATCTAGATACAAAGATGTTTTACGTTTTCGTCGCCTCCACATGATATTTTTGTCAGCATAAGGTACCCTTCTATATCTGAAACGCATATAAATATTGCTACAAAGTAAAGTAATAGGCTATACAAGTCCCTCTACTGGGCACAGGACTCTTTTTTTATTTCTGAGAGGGTTTTAGGGCAAGGAAATGCCCGCCGTGCTTCCCCAATGCGTGTTGACGAAAATTGCAATTACAAATTTCATTCGTGCTGTCGGGGATCAAACCCGGGAAAATTTACAGCGAACACTTTGACCCAGATCTACTAATACGACACAAATAAATCCGATTTAACATATATAATAAAAAGCTCTTACGTACTTGAAACTTGAACACTTGATAGCTCGTGACGCCTACCGAACAAAGCTACAGCACCACACCGTGCAATGTAATTGAAGATGCGTAACCGCGACATAATTCTCAGTGATGCGCAAGCATAACAGGCAGTATGTCACTTATATTATTGTCATCTCTGCAGTCTATTAATCTTTGCACTTTTATAAGTAATACAGAACGTAGTTGCTAGACGGTGTTGACGTCGGCTAAAATCTCTGCGATCGCCGTTTCGTCAAGGTCATTCAGGCTAGTTAAAGCCTTAAAATCTAACTTTTTAAAAACAAAATACTACTATGGCAAGTACGTACTAATACATCATTCATCATAATTATCATTACAGCTTTTCACAAGTTTACTGCTGAAAATAGGCCTCCCCAAGGAATGAATTTAAACGTGGTAGGGCCATGCTGCAGCTATATTAATTGTATAGTTGTAGCACGAATGGGTCGGATCGACCGGGGAAGGACCACGCTCTCACAGAATACCAACGTAAAATAGCAGCTTAATGCTTCTGTGTTTCGTGTGGTGAGTGTAGGGAACCGGAGACCCTTTTTACTTGAAACGAGGCATTCCATCTCCGTCCTCACGGCTGACAACGCATCTGCATTTTGATTCGCAAACTAGGATATTTATGTAAATGTTTATGGAAGGGCTCGTAGGGGCTCCTAATAGGGGCGAGGCATCCACCCTAACATATTAACAACTTCATCCAATTTAGTTATTATATGATGTACCTACTCACACGTATCGAAAGTATATTGTACCTATGTATAAAAAAGATCAAATAATGTAACTTGCAATATAGGCTGGTGCATACAATGCAAGCGTAAAATCGGACACTAGAAGAACAAAATTGTTTTAAATTTTCAAATGGACCAAAAAATTAAAATTATCTCTTTAATCTAGTCCCATTCTATCATTGTTACTCTTTAGTAATTAACCACTTAAACTCTAGGATAATCTATATCAATTTAAAATATTTAAGAAAATAATTTGTAGGTATTAAAGTGCGTTACCTGTATGGTCCAACGGGTTTATAAACTTGAGGAGAGGTTATTATTTTTTTCGTCAATTTTGCTGAAGCATTTGAATTGCTTGCTTTACTGTTTGCCCTCGACATATTTGTTGATAACTAGACACGTCTGACTTGCAATTTATCGTAAGCGCATTAAATAAAGAAAACACGCAGTAGAAGTTGATTTAAGGGTCAAAAGATTCACAACATAGTGCTCCGTTAGTGATAAGACACATAATTTATTTCTTAATTTATCATAACGATGAAATTTAGATGTATATGACTTTTAATTTTTAATTTTTACAATATGTCAATACATTCTAATATAAATTATTTTTAATTGTGTTCCATTGCCATTTGCCAGTAATTTTATTATTATTTCGGTTTCGGGTCTTTAATCATTATGATGATATAAACATTGTTTTTAGGTACGGTTTTATCTCATGATTTATTTTTTTAAGAAATTGCGTTAGTCTATCATTTTTTAAAATACTACCCGCTGCTCCGCTTGTGTGAACCGAAGCTCAAGCAATCTGCAACCAACATTGTTAATATTGGAATCATACACCGATTAGACACCGATGTTTTTGGCTGTATGTCGCGGCTATTTTACGTAGGCATAATGGCGCCTCTTCACGTTGGCCAACACAGTGGCGAATGTGTTGGCAGAGTTATTGGCCAAGAAATTGTGATCGCGTCCACACGTTGGAAGGTCGTTCAGTTTGCTTCGATTCATGCCAATGTGCGGACGAATTTATTAAAATGATTATTGATGCGCTAACGGCTGCTGCGGTTTATTTATTCACAGCATTTTTTTTATTTAAATTTCACTATTTTTAATATTTAATATTTTTAATATAAATTTTTAATATTTCTTTATTATACACTAATGTTATACAGATAAGTAAACTATATAAACATTAACACACCTAGGCATAGGTATAATTAACTAAGGCCTGGCCTGTCTATGAAACTGTTGTAAAATTTTTATTAAACAAAACCTTTTTAAAAATGGTTATTATATAATTATAGAATATATTTATTTATTTACACTTTCATGCACAAAGTAGTACATATGGCGAACTTAATAATAATAATAAATAATTTATTTCGTCAAACATTAAAGTTACATTATATGATCAGTGATCGAGGTCACCTAGTAAGCAAAATAATGCCTGAAACAGGTGACTTCGCTCTTCCGTAGCTAAAAATTACAGTATTATTAACGAAATAAAGTAACTAATAGGGAATAATAAAGACAGTAAAAAAATGATTTTAGTATCCTACTTTTTAATTTGATTTTAACATATATTATATATTATAGATTTTAAGATATTTAATAAATCAATTAATACATCAATAAATAAATTAATACATCAATCACTACAACGTGAATGTGTATAAGATAAGGGTGATCAAAAAGAATTGGGAAAAATAAATTTTATTTCTTGACGGCTCCGTGGCGTAGTGGCTTAGCAATGAGTTGCTGCCCTGGGGGCCGCGGGTTCGAATCCCGCACGGAACAAGTATTTGTATAGCCTGCACATAATTTCTTCGGGTCTGGATGTTTTTCCTTATGCAATTTATGTTTCTAAACTGCCTCCACGATACAGGAGAAAATCCTAGTGTATAATAATATAGTTTTTTAAAAAGACTTGTGTTTTACAAACAATTTTCGGCTTGGTAGGGCTCTATAAAGCGAAAAGTTTTTTCATTGGTCATTGTTACTGCCGTTATGTAGACACTATTGCGTGCATATAAAATTTAAATCAGGTGCGTGCATTCACTCTGGGATTTCAGTATATAAAAAGTAAGTACTCTGTGCTCTGGGAGCTCGTAGCAAACTGAACGTGCGGCCAACGAGTGGACGCGGCGGCCAATACTCTGCCACAACCCTTTGATCTTTTGTAAAAAACCGACACCAGACGGATCTCGCGCCAACTTGTGGGCCATCGTTCCAATACGTACCAACGTAGCTTAAACACCCGCTCTACACGATGGCCATCGTTGTTGGCCAACACATTGGCCAGTGTGTTGGCCAACGTGAAGAGCCGCCGTAAGAAGAAAAGAGAGATAATAAGCTATAAAGTTGTTGAAGCCGTTGGCATTCTAAAATTTACCTTTGAAGCCTCTTAGAAACTCGTCTACGCGAGTAAAGACAAGATATACACGGTTGCAATATTGTTTTTTTTTTTTGTCTTATATTACCTATCTTGTTTTCTTCGGTTCAAATGACATTAATTTCAAATTACCTATTATAGCCTGAAAGCTGGCGACGAATTTTGGGAAGGTCCTTTGGGCAAGTTGAAATTTTGAAAAATTATAATTTCGTCAATTAGCGAATCCAGTCCCGCGAGTCTGGCAGAGCGTTTGCGGTTATTTCGTTACTGCGCAGCATATTATAACATTTGCAAAAAAAAAATCCAAGAAATGTTTTTGTGGCAACTTGATTTGTTTTTTATCTTTTAATTTAGTTTATGTTAGTTTTTTTTACAAGTACCCTGTTAATCTACATTATATTTTGTTTATACTTAGAAATTAAAATTATTTAAAATGTATACTTACGATTTGAACGTGTTTGAGTGAAATGATTTCGATATATTAGTGTACGCCTAGGATAAGATTATTATTTGTTTGCAAGTATTTAAACTTTCTCATGTAAGTGAATTGTCGTAAATTCTTATGAGAAATAAAGATATCTCAAACCTCAAACCTCATATAATTCCAAAAAAATAATCCCAAACGTTTTTGTCGGTTATAAAGTATTGCCAGACCTCTCTAAAAATAGTTTTTTTTTTTAAATTCCTAATGAATATACTTTGGCGATCTCTCGAATTTTATTAATTTAATAATATAATAATATTTAATTAATTTTATATTTTTTTTTTCAAAATTTCAACTTGCCCAAAGGACCTTCCCAAAATTCGTCGCCAGCTCTCAGACTATTAGAAAAGTTGTAGAACATATCAGTGCGGAGAGTGGAATTAAAAAGTAATGAATATTTTAAAAACTTACATGTGTAGAAGAATCGTGGATTAACATTATTAAATTTATAGATGAATTACGTATTACGTGTTTTTATATTTTCCACATTTACTCCACTCGCATGTAACCAAAGTGTAAACTTTTAAAACAACTTTTTTTCGATTCTAGGGTTATTTCTGCTATAAAAGATTCTATTAGGATGTATATTTATGATGATATAATTTATCATATAATTCATCATTATAATTTAATAAATATCAGAGTCTATACAACTTAGATAGTTACTTTGTACACAAAATTGTGATTAGGAAAGGAGCACTTGAGTGAATATTATGTTAGTCGCAAATTGCCAAGTTATCCGATGTATGTATGTTACGTCCAAACCGTTTGTCAAACATGGCAACTATGACAATATGCTTTCCCTGTACCCGTTCAAGGGCTTTCAAAAATCTAGTCCCGAAAATTTTTAGCTCGAATTATAAAAATCTTTTATACGTGGTAGAGCCATGCTGCAGCTATATTATTAATATAGTTGTATTACGAATGAGTCGGCTCGACTGGGGAAGGACCACGCTCTCACAGAATATCAGCGTAAAATGGCAGCTTGACACTGCTGTGTTTCGTATGGTGAGTGTAGAGAACCAAAGACCCATTTTACTGGAAAAGAGGCATTCCATCTTAGTTGTCACGGGTGACGACGCATCTGCATTTTAATTCTTTATCGAGGATAAATGTCTATGGGTCACAGCAACCACTTACCATCAGGTGGACTGTGTGCACGTTTGTCACTCTATCCTATAAAAAAAATCGTTTTCAGCGCGTAGTAGAGTGTAATACATATACAGTGGACGATATAAAAGACAAGCTCGTGGAAACTGTCCATACGATTGGAGCTAAGTTCTGCAAAACCCATCGCAGAACTGAAGAACCCAAAAATAGTCTTCAGCAGACATGAGAGCACACAGGCAACTAAATATACAGATCTCCAAATGTATGTGGCGAGACTTACGCAACTTCAATAAAGCTCATAATAATACGCTTCTAAAAGCGATTGAGAGGAACCTAGGCTCCAAAAATTACAACGGCTACAAAGACTTAGAGATCTATTTGTCAGAAAGAACCAGTTGTCGAAGTTGAAGACCAATTATGGAAGCGACATCTCTGAGACACCTGAGATTTGAGACATTGAGAAATTCTACGGATAGCCACTACGGCTACATTCTGCGTACACATCATTGTTGGATCCCAACGCAAGTGTAAGTAAAGATGCAAGAGCAAGTCTCATCCGACACTTTTCCGATGATATTGTTGGTTTGTTGGATATATTTTTAGATAAACATCTCAATTTCAAAACACATATAAATCTCGTTCAAAAACTGATTTATATATTCAAAATACTACATACATTCAAACACTATGTGTCGCCAGTTACTTACGTTCAACCCAACTTTTATTAGGTACACATTATGCCAGCCCATCATCATGTAGGTACGTAGTATTTGCTACTTTTAAACCAATGTTCTTAGCGCTAGACAGGTCTTTATTCTGCACTCTTACTACAACACTATTCTGCACTATTACTACAACATAACTTCCAATAAAAGGGACTACCTTTATTGAAATTACAAAACGTCGTAAAGATAAATCAACTCCTCATTTACAAAAATTTCTAGGTATTCTCCTTTATTAAAAATGTAAGGTGCCTGCGGGTAATAAGGCCTGTCAGCTAATAAGGCCTAAGTGACAAAAATCGTATTTATAATAACCGCACTCGCTTAAGGAGATAATAACAGACTCCTATTGGACGATAATGTGTATACGAGTTTACAGAGACGCGCTACCCCGCGTCCTGCGACCAGAGTTGCATTATCTATCATAGGATCGACAGCACTGCACCAATAATTAAAATCAGTCCAAATAAATCATAGGTATGTTAACACTTAACTATCTAAAATTGTAATCTTTATCTTTATGAATAAATGCTTTGTTGATCTTGAAGATTTGAGTAACGTATCGTGGTCAATTTTTTTTAATTTGCGTTTCTCTTAATACTTGGTCGGCGGTTAATAAGGCCTACTAAATTAACCATAGACATTATTATACTCCTTTTTCTTGTGTAGTTTCTTTGTATTGTTATGAATTTTATATAACTTTTAAAATGTTATAAATACAAATAAATCGAACGCTTTTATTATTCAACTAATCTCGTAGTCAGAAAAAGGCCTGGTCTCAGCTGTGACAAAGTGTGTCGAAGAATTAAGGCTTGACATTAGAAGCTATTAAATTATGTGTAAATTATTGGTCCTGCGCCTAAGTACTCTACCACGTTTAAATGTCAATATGAATATTGCAATTAAATAAAATAGAAGAATATTTTTATTTTCAAATGAAAACATAGTATAATCTATACATTGAAGTGTCTGTTTGTAATATCAAAATAACAGCCTTTTACTAAATACATATGAAAGTATAGACGGTATTCATAACAAAAGGACACAAACAATTTTTAAAATGTTTTTCTGTTTCTCTGTTTGTTCCGGCTTATAGCTGGCACTGGCAGATAGCTCACGTTATAAGGAGTAATACAGGCAAATTTTATTTTAGAAAAAGAATTAGGATTCCGCGCAAAAAAATTAAAACCTATGAAATCCAATCGTAATAAATACCAAGCGGGCGAGGTCCGGGAACAGCTATTATGTAAGTAACTATTAAGTTATAATTTGTATTAAACTTTAACTTAATTTTACATGCATTGTAGTTTATAATAAAATATGTTTTGGTTTTAATTTTTATATCGATAGTTAATCGATAATTTTTGCTTTGCTTTGTGTATCGTTAATAGCCTTTTTAAATCGATTTAACATTGTTCCATGTCTAGATACGTTAAAAGTGTAAGCTGTCACCCGCACCATGCTATAACGCAGACTATAAACAAAATAAGATGAAAGGTTACGAAAAGCTATACACATATAAGATTAAATGTAAAAACATACCTAAACATACCTACGCGCTTCGGTGGTGCGACGAACAGCGAACACTGAGCGCGTTTCCTTCCAACACAAAATCTATGGAAGACTTGTGTTCGGAGTGGCTTTTTCCGTTTGGGATTCCAATCGCACAGGTCATACGGAATCTCGAATCGGAGTAAATTCCGTATGGAGAATTACCATACGTATGTGGCGGGTCATAGATTTTATATGGACTTGCTACGTTCGGAATCCCGAATCGGAATATCGAAACAGAATCCCGAAACGGAATTCCGTATGTATGTGGCCGGCCTAAGTATAAGTAGTCTGCGTCTGTGTATTTGCGTTGATGGAGATTGGAGATAGGCTCCGAGGGCTAGAACCCAGAGCCGTAAAGCCAGTTATTAAAAAAAAGCATAGGTACTTCGTGAAAAAAAAAATGGTTGGAGATTGAAGAAATATTTCTGAAGTGAATTCTGATTTCTGATGTCATGGTTCATTGAGGTACATGTATTCTGTGATTTCCATCTAAGCTGAAGAGAAATAGATAAATAGGATAGGAATTAGGTAATAAGTTTTTCTGCTGTCAGCTTATGTGTACGTATTAAATCTTGTAATCGCTTGCTACCTTGGTATTCTAATGATCTATTTTTATAAATATACATATGCCAAAGTAGAAATCGAATGGGTACTAATAAATGTATTAAAATGCCTAACTTATTTATTTAATACAGAAACTTTATTTTCAGACAAAATGCAGAGTATTCTTTCTATAAGCCGAAAGCTTATGAAATTAAACCTAAATGTGAACATAGAAAAACCACGTCTTTTTAGTACACTTCAAGACATCTCAATGAAAAAGATTTTACAGGTTTATAATCCAGTAATAAATCCTATCTGTGGTTTTAAAGTAAAAGGCCGCGTCAGAAGACGTTGTAAATCATGTTACTTTGTTTTCCGAGATCAAAGAAAATATGTGATATGCCCTGAACACCCACGACACAAACAGATGGCAATGAAACCTAAACCTCATAATACTTGGATTTTAACACATGCTAGTCAGAGCCCCGTAAGACCATGGTAGAGTAAAAAGGAAATAAAATATTAAACCTGATATGATTAGTTGATAAAAAGAATTTCTTTTCTTTTTAAATAATTGTATTTTATTTATAGTATGAAGTTTTTACCCCTTTCGGGCTTTAATGCCTAAATCCAAAAAAATGTGTGAGAAAGCTCTGGTTCTTTGACCTAGTACCAATGGGAAAGTATTGATGATTGCATTTGTTTTATTTGAATGATCTAATGCAAGCAATAAAATAATTGATGGAACCTTTTTTAACCTGTGATTGACTGTTGTGCAAGTTGTGAATGTGGAGGAAGGAGATGAAACTACAATGATAGTAATAATAACCATTTTTCTACTTACCATTTAATTTAAATAATATGATAGTCGCTTTAGCCGAATCGTACTTGCAATATTGTACTTATTTTTATAAAATTCAGGTGACTGACAAACTTAATAGATCACCTGATGGTAAACGGCTAGTGCAGTCTGATAACACTTGCAGCCAACTTCAAATGAAGATTGCTACAAATGTATTGTCACCTCTGAGGACTAAGATGAAATTCCTTACACCTTGAGTCTTATTATACTAGCCCTTCAAACCAGAACACAATAGTGCCCAGCTATTTGGTGGCAAAAATAAATAACAGTTTAGTGCCTGCCCAAACTGACTCCTCGGCAACAAAGGAAAGTAGCAGTATGCAAGTTTAAAATAATCATGAAACCCACTAAACTATTTCGTCTTTTTTACACATATTATTAAACATTATTTAAACATGTTACTAAAATATGCTACTAACTTACTGCAAGTGATTACAAACTGAAACATATTTTTAACATTTATTTGATTTATATTAACAGAAACAGAAACTTTTTTATTCAATATAGTATAGATTATAAATAATACTTATTGAAAGTCACTCTTTTGTATAATTACCACTGGTTCGAAAAAAACACCTCTGTCCTGGGAAGAACCAGCAAGAAATCCAGCGGGACTTTTTTTTATATAACAGCTTACAATCATGTACGTTACACAAATTAACAACACAACAAATTAGAACTAGCTTGGTAGCAATCACTTCATTTCCAGGGGTTATTATCATCTATAATTTTTTTTTGATTTTGTTGTAATATGATCAAAATAAATATAACCTTTTGATTAGCCAGCGTAAAAGATTCCTAAAAATGTTTAAAACAAATTTTGTGTAGCATTCTCTTGTTCTCTTCTTTCTTTTTCTTCAAGTAGAACAAACAGAATAGCTGTTCTCACAGAAGACAGAGTATTGCAGGTTTATAGAGCAATGTATGGTTTTTGAAATATCCTCATACATCATCTTCACCTCTTTATTGGGATATGTGAAAGTTGGTGAATAAACATTGACTTAACACTTGATGATTTTAAGTATTCAGTTTTTAATGATTCTTCCTCACCTCTTTGTCTAAAAGAAAGAATTTATTTTCATAGTGACACTAATTTGCACCATCTCCATTCTTCACTCAGTTTATTACTGTCTACATTCTGTGGCGTAACTATGTAACTAAGGACCCCGGGACAAAAATAAAATTGGGGCCCTATTTAAACTAAATACTTCAAAGGTGCAAACCTACTTCATCATCAGCTCCTTGTCGCCCACTATAGGGCATAATAAAGCAAAGCTACCTACTACTAAGTATTATGTGTAACGCATTAACAATGACATGGGTAGAGACAACATAACAGTGGAAGAGCAACACGGCAGCTTTTGCTATCAGACGGGTGAGTCAGACTAGATGGAGTGACGACCTGGTAAGACATGAAATGAAGAGCTGTAATAAATGAATGTAATGAATGGATGGACAGGCTCGAACCGAGGAGACCCACAACCTTACATATAACCAGCGAGAAGTAGAAGCTTACTTCGCCTGTTAAATGCAGGTGGTCGGAGGCCTAACCCCTCTCCCCCTTAACATGGTAGTGTAATTAAATAAGAAATCATTCCAGGAGGGTACCGCACTGGTATTGGAGAATCCCTGGCTGAGCATCCACGCCCAAGCTACCCTACTCTTCCTTAGCGCGGGTGCTCAGGCTGCCTTGCTTATTTTGGGGAGGGGTGGGGTTTGGGCGAGATTTTACTCAAGACTAATACTGCTTGTGGCAAGTAGAGCAATAAGATAAGGTGATCCCTGCCACACTATCCGTGAATTTCTGCAACATCAGGGGATTTCATTCGAATGTTAACGAAGTCCACTAGGCACCACCTGAAGACGGCGAAGTCGACCTTGCTCTTTCTAACCGAGATGCAGGTGTCTTCTCTGGTCGATACTTCTCCTATCCTGGGTACAAATTATAACATCTTTGTACCTCAAGCTGGAGTTTGCGTATACGTCAGAGAGGACATCTCGGCAGTCGTGAAGGTCAGCAACGACTATCCCTCGCGTCTACGGGTGCCTCTATAGGTAATGCCGACACAGACCGACTCATTGACCACGTCCAAATCGCTGTAGACATCGTGCTACAACAGGTCCCATCTGCAGAAATCGTGATTGGTGATTTTAACGGCCACCACGCTGAATGGTTTGGTTCTCGTTTAACCGATCGAGCGAGAAGATCTCTTTATGGCTGCCTTGGCATATGGTCTGATTACTTCACCTACGCGGATTCTAGATGTGGAGGATCGTGCAGCTTCCCTGTAGGACCTTCTGCTGACCTCTCATCCGGACGGATATGAGGTCTCCGTCGACGCCCGTCTTGGCTCATTGGACCATTGTCTGATCCGGACTATGGTGCCACTCACACTCCCAGATCGTTGATCGTGATTGCGTTCTGCAGATCGCCGCCGTGTTTGGTACTATAGGTCGGCCGATTGGGACAGGGTCTTTATTTGCATCTTTCCCTTGAAAACAGGGGTGGGTATGCTTCTCGCCAGATGATGCCAACGTGATTCTGTCACTGATGTGGTACTTCAGGGAATGGAACTCTTTATTCTATGATCTGTGGTGCTTGGTTTGGTGCTTAGCAGAGCGGGACAGTATTTTATGCAACAAAATTTCATCAACGCATTTCACAAATCCACATCATCGGGATGTTTGGCGGTCCACTACTGTCGGACCGATACGACTTAGGCAGCTTCAAGAAACGATCTTACTCCTTTTTAAAAAGCCGGCAACGCGCCTGCAATTCCCCTGGTGTTGTATTTGTTAGTAAGCGATGCTCGAAACTTGCCATCAGGTGAGTCGCATGCTCGTTTGTCCCACTCTTTATATAAAAAAGACAATAAAACGAAGTAGACAATTCTCTTTAATAATGTTATATTCATGTTCTGGAAGTGGGAGTAATTTTAGTGATTTTAGTTCGAGCCGTTCGCGATCAGGGGCCAAAAAGTTAAAACTCGAAATTTTTTATACAACTAGGAAAGTACATAATTTTTCGAACGTCGTCGTGTAGCTGTTGTGCAAGCTGTAAGCTGTAAATAACACTTCAAAAAATTTCCAGAATGGCGCTACCATAGATACAGGGTATGGTACAAGTCGCGGCACGTAAGTCTAGCACTGAACGAAAATTTAAGGGGACGCGCACGAATGCGACTAGAGAGCCAATCAGCGCGTGCGAACGATACGCACGAGCCAATCAGCGCGACTGATGCGCAATAAACCAATCATCGCGAATTATGCGCAATAACGGTCACCGCTAGACTTTTGTGCCGCTTATTTATTACCGTTACTTATATGAATGTAGCAGTTGTAGATGGGTTGAAGTGTGTCGAGTTAAAAAAAAATTTGAAAGTCAAATGGTACCCCAGCTTGAGGTAGCATTTGATTTTCAAATTCACTTGTTGCATCGCTTTAACAAGTGGCAACTGTAGGGAGAACTTGCGATTAGAATCGACAAGAAATTCACAAGCAGGCTATTTTTCTTTAAACAGTTACAACTACATAAACAAATACAATTCTTATAAAATATACAAATAAACAAGAAAATCTGAGCCCACGCATACTTATCTTTTAAATCATCTAATTTATATCCTTTATTCATAAGAGTGCTTTTTACATGCGCTTTGAATTTATATCGGTATACCTAAGGCAAATCAGAATTATTACAGAGAATCTTGTTAAAAATTTACCCTAATATGAACCGCTAGTTTTATTGAGTCTGTATTAGTCCTTTGGAACAGGAAGCTTAGATTTATTGTACGTGTTACAATTATGGGCATCACTCACTTAAATAAGTAATATTTTACAAATTGAATTGTGATTCAACGGTTAAGATGTTTATTTCTTTAAAAAAGTCTCTGAGTGTGTCCTTTGCTTTAATATTCATGTTGCGCGTACATCTTTTTTCTGTAGTATGTACCTATTTTTTTTTTTTCACTATCAGTTGCTGACCCCTACAATAATAATCCATAAGACACATAGAGCAACACGGGCCACCGGCGAGGCCTCCTACCCCAGCCTACGATTTGGGAGTACATATAAAAAAAATACTGACAGACGTATTTTAAATGGCACATCACAAAAATATCAATTATCCCTTATACCTATAATTTCAATGAGAGCGTAGGCAATAAAATCCTAGCTGGAAGAAATATAGGGTTTCTTTTTAGTTCATATTTTTGCCGCAAGACTGTTGTGGCGCGGGCTCTCTCCGCTTTATGTATTGTAAGTATAAGAAAGACTACACGCATACATGATTTGACTTACACATACATAATTATATTACATCGTTTGATTATTGTAAGATTTGGTTGTTTGTGGCAATTGAGGTACATAATTGGACTACAAAATATCTACTCGGTAAGAATTTAATAACAATCATTTTAATCTATAAAAATAGTTTACATCGTCGGTAAAGACAAAATGGCAGATTGAAGACCAAAAAACTTTGCCTTGCGTATGTGGACTAAGAAAAGCCTTTCATACCGTCGAAATTTGGGCGATGCTACAGTCCCTTCAGCGGTGCCAAGTTGACTGTTGGTATATAGAAGTGCTGAAGTGTTTGTACAGCAGGGCTACGATGGCTATCCCAGTGCAGAATCAAGAGTACTCTCAAGGTCGCTCAGCGAACTACGAAGAGGGCTGTGCTCGTAGTTTCTCTGCGTGATAAAGTTAGAAATGAGGATATTCGCAGTAGAACCAGAGTAACCGACATAGCTCAACGGATTAGTAAGCTGAAGTGGCAATGGGGCGACCATATAGCACGAAGAACCAACAACCGATGGGGTAGAAAGGTTCTCGAGTAGCAGCATCGTGCCGGTGCAACGACATCGAGTGACGACCTGGTAAGACATGCAGGAAGTCGATGGATGCAGATGGCTCACGACCGTGCTTCGTGCCATTTCTTGGGGGAGGCCTATGCTCAGCAGTGGACTTGTGAAGGGTTGTAATGATAATGATCGTCGGTAGTAAAGGTTAAAATCAGTCAAATTAATAAGATAGTAACGATGCTCATCGCGCATTTTAAAATCACCAATCAAAATTTTGACAATTATAACCACTAAAACTACTTACGTTCGTTGTTCTTTTAATAATGACAAAATCTTACAAATTATTCGTGTTAGGAATAATTTAAGGTATCTACTTAAATAAAATATTCCACCCGTCAATGACAGCCATTTTTAAATATTATAGGTTAAATACATGAAATTCAGTCCAGTACGCTCTTTAAATTAAAACCTTTGTTTTAGCACTACTTTACGTACGTAGTCATTTATTATAAAATATATACTCAAAGAAAGTTTAACGTTGGTTGAGCTTCTTTAAATTTAGTGGAAGAGGTCCCCAAGGAGAGGGCCTCTAACGGTATAGTTACGCCACTGGTACCATCGTTAAAATGCATATAACGCAATCGGATCGGCTCAGAAAAATATGAACGGTAATTTTACCGTGGTGCATAAGCGGCCTTGGACGGTATATTTTTCCCTTTTTTAATTAACTTCATTCGTTCATTACAGCTTATCAAAAGTCCACAGCTGAACACAGGCCTCCCACAAATCACAGCTTAAAGGTCAGCCGATGCCGCCGCCCGTGTAGGTATTTACTATTTACACCGTCCCGCGCAAATATGTTAGGGGTTGTCACAAAATTGGGAATAAAATAATTTAGGATATTAGACTCATTATAATTTATTAACATTATGTACATTGTACATACCTATAAGTTAAAAAACATTTATTAAACAAGATCATTTTTGACAAATATTTTCGTAACACTATAGATATTTTCAGATTTTGATTGGTAAATTCATTTATGTAGTGTACTCGCGTTCGGATTAACAATTTTATCAAAAAAAAAAAAAAGAGATAAATTACAGTCATGCTTAAGTTTGAGTTTAACTTTATTTAGTAACTCATATGACTATAACAGTAATCCACCATAATAGGTATTATATTTTTCGAAAACTGTACTAAAAAGTATTAAATACATAAGTAGTTGCACGCTCGCGTCAACTTCGTGTTGTATTGTACAGAGTACAGCAACATTAGTGGAGGCGTGACTGTGTGCTATAGTGGAGTGCGCTGGCACACGGTCGCGCCGCCCTCTGCCTCGCAAGGCCCCCGCCGTTGCTCTGCACAAGTACATTCGTTTCACAACTGTTATACTCTCTTACACTGTGCCCAAATGTCTAAAAGGGTATGTTATAGTTATCACGCATGGCAGGCAGGTTGGCATCCGCAGTTTGTTTATTATGATAAAATCAAGAAGATGCTGCTGCCCTGACTGCTGATGCGCCTGTTTAATTTCCATCTGTCATTTCTTGCGTCACCCACGGGGTGATGATGAAGAAATTTCTCTTAAGGCGCCACTACACGGCTTCCCAAACACAGTTAACAATATACCTGACTATAGAATTGTGGTTCTGGGGTTCAGATCGAAAGAGCCAATATAAATGTTACACAAAAATTTAAGATTGCATGGTCTTAACAGCTTTAAATATCCAATTAAAAGTATACTCAAAAGTGTTATATGATATATAACAATTTTATACATTTTTAATAAGATTATAACAACAATAATATAGCTGTAAGTATAGTATTACAAAATTAATTGTGTAGTATTAGGCGGACCTAAGATCTTTGAGATATTATCTGTTCCCTGTATCAGGCAAATCACTTGCAGTTTCTTCTTGGGTCCGCAATGTAATGTCGCTGAAATTGTATCAAAATATTAATTAAAAAAATTCAATAAGTAAAACAAAATATGAATTTATGATTAGTTTAACTATATTTGATAGATCCATGGTGCAGCTATATTAGTAGTATAGTTGTGGAATGAGTCGGCTCGACCGGGGAAGGACTACGCTCTTACGGAATACCAGTGTAAAATAGCAACTTAACACTGCTGCGTTAAGTCAGTTGTCACCTTAATCCTATTAAAAAAAAAGTGATTGATTTGAAATGCAGTACGTTTGCATTAAGAATCGATGATAATACAATAATTTCATGACTAAATAAACAAATCATATGATATTATTTCATTCATTCATTACTGTCTGTCATCAAGTCCGCTACTGAACACAGGCCTCCCACGTAGAGTGCCTCATTATGCCCATGTGGATTTTGTATTGCCATAGTTGACACGCTTGACAGGCGCCTTGGCAACTACACTTTTTTTATTATTATTTTGAGTTGTTGTCAAGAAGATACTGCTGCCCATCTGACTTCGTTTCTCCATTGCGAAACCTATGAGATATTATGGGAGTAACGATTCTCTTATACCACCAGCTCATATGTAAATGTATTATATTAAAATACATATCATTATTGTAATTTCTTTTATTACACCCTATAAGTTTATAATTTAACATAAAATCATTTTTTTAATTAAACTGAAGTGAAATTGATATTGTAAAAATTAGATTATAAATAAAAAGCAAATGCAGTCAGCATTTGCTTTTTATTTAGGGAATTTTTTCTAAAGGAAATAAAAAGAATACAATAATTTCCATATAATAACTTCAGAAGTCAGTACTAAGACATAGTGTATATATACAGGATTATTTTTCAAAGAGTATCCAAATTTTATATTTAAGTTTAAATATGTATATAGATAAGGATATGCAGTCATTGCAGTTTTTGAAAATAAATAAAGCTTGTACTTTTATTTGAATTTATTAAATTTATGGGCAACAATCATGGACGTATAAAAAAGGCGAACTGAATTTTGTTAAGAAACGACTGATGCACTGTATGTTTGCGTGCAAAAACATGTGTCATGTGAAACAAAATTTCCCCATTTTTTTTAAATAAAACAATCTATCAAAATATAATATAACTTTGACACAATACTGATTATTATTATTTTCATCATTACAGCCCTTCACAAGTCCATTGCTGAAGATAGGCCTCCCCCAAGGAATGCCACAAAGCACGGTCCTGAGCCACCTGCATCCATCGACTTCCTGCATATCTTACCAGGTCGTCACTCCATCTAGTGGGGGGCACGCCCTAAACTTCGTCCGCCGGTACGAGGTCGCCACTCGAGAACCTTTTTTCCCCATCGGTTGACGGTTCTTCGAGCTATATGGCCGGCCAATTGCCACTTCAGCTTACTAATCCGTTGGGCTATGTCGGTTACTCTGGTTCTACTGCGGATATCCTCATTTCTAAGTTTATCACGCAGAGAAACTGCGAGCATAGCCCTCTCCATAGCTCGCTGAGCGACCTTGAGTTTCCTCATCCGGCCAGCAGTGAAGGACCACGTTTCAGTACCATAGGTCATCACTGGCAACACGCACTGGTTGTACAGTCTTGTTTTCAAGTTTTGAGGTATACCTGACGAGAATATGTGCCGTAATTTCCCGAACGCTGCCCAACCGAGTTGAATCCGTCGATTGACCTCTCGGTCGAAGTTGGACTTACCTAGTCGGACTATTTGTCCCAGGTAAACATACTCGTCAACAACTTCGAGCTTAGTGCTCCCAACAACTACCGGCATAGGTGTGACATGGACATTAAACATGATCTTTGTTTTGTCCATGTTCATCTTAAGACCTATCCGTTGGGAGACACTATTGAGGTCATTGAGCATAGTGCTTAGGTCCTCCAGCGATTCTGCCATAAGGACTATATCGTCGGCAAATCGAAGGTGAGTGATGTACTCGCCATTGATATTAATACCGTATCCTTTCCAGTCCAGAAGATTGAAAACGTCTTCCAATGCAGCGGTGAAGAGTTTCTGGGATATAACGTCACGCTGTCTTACACCTCTCTGCAATTGGGTAGTTTTCGTACTCTGGTTCTGTACTCGGATAGCCATCGTAGCCCTACTGTACAAGCACTTCAGCACTTCGATATACCGACAGTCAACTTGGCACCGCTGAAGGGACTGCAGCACAGCCCAAATTTCGACGGAATCAAAGGCTTTCTCATAGTCCACATACGCCAGACATAGTGGCAAATTGTACTCCTAGGGCTTGTGTACAATTTGCCGAAGGGTATGTATGTGGTCTATGGTGCTAAAGCCTTTTCGGAAACCGGCTTGTTGGGGAGGCTGGAAGTCGTCAAGTCTGCACGCTCGAAAACAGCACGTAGACGCGGCTCAGAAGGGAATCCGTCTGTAGTTCTTCAAGAGAGCGTTGTCACCATTCTTGAATAACAAGATCACCGCACTTCTCCTCCGCGCCTCCGGTGTAATGCCACGGTGGTGTAATAACGGAATTAAAGAGCTTCTGAAGGACTTCCAGTACCGGTCTTCCACCCGCTTTCAGAAGCTCCGCTGTAATTCCATCCTCGACTGGGGCCTTGCCGTTTTTAAAGTGCTGGAGAGCCATTCTAATCTCGCTCAGACTGACGTCCGGGATATCTTCAGAATAGTGTCGGATAAGACTTGCTCTTGGATCGTTACTCACACTTGCGTGTGGCTCCAACGATGACGTGTACAGCTGCCCATAGAACCTCTCAATTTCACTCAAAATCTCAGGTGCCCCGGTAACGGCGCTGCCACACTCGGTCTTCAGCTTCGACACTTGGCTCTTTCTGGCAGACAGATCTCTAGCAAAGACTTTGGAGCCCTGGTTCCGCTCGATCGCTTCTTCAATACGAGCAGTATTAAAGTTGCGTAAGTCCCGCCGCATGCATTTGGAGATCTGTCTGTTCAGTTGCCTGTATGCTGTCAAATATACTGAAGACTGCAGCTTCATATCCCGTCTAACAGCCATGAGATTAAGAGTGAGATCGGAGAGTTTTTGTGTTCTTCTGCGACAGGTCTTGCAAAACTTAGCTCCGACCGCATGGACAGTTTCCACGAGCTTGTTATTCATATCGTCCACTGCATTGCAATCTTCTAGGTACTGAAAACGGTTTCGTAGCTCGAGCTGAAAGGTTTCGGGACTTTGGATTAGAGCACGAGGGGGATGGAGCGTTAACTTCATTAGACGTGACCTCTCCAACTTAACGTTTAGTTTCAGTGTGCTTCTAACCATTCGGTGATCGCTGCCGGTTTTCACCCTCGCAATCACTAAGACATATCACTGAACAGTTGTCGTCTGGTCGTCATAATGAAGTCAATCTCATTTTTTGGCGAACCGTCGGGGCTCGACTAGGTCCACTTCCTGTGGGGCAGAAAAAGAAGAAAAAGTTCATCATAAAGAGTCCCTCTTTCTCCATGAAGTCGGCCAGCTGCTGGCCCCTTGGGTTCCGTTGCCCTATTCCAAATTTCCCTACTCTCAGCTCACCGTTCTCTCTTGTGCCTAGTTTTGCGTTGAAGTTTCCCATTAACACCGTATGGTGGGTTTTGGAGGAATGCATGGCTCTAGAGATATCCTCATACATTTCCTCCACCTCCTCATCGGGGTGTGCCGAGGTTGGTGCGTAAACCTGTATGACCTTCAGCGAATACAGTTTGGTGATTCTGAGTATAAGATACGCAACCCTCGTCGACACACTCCCAATCTTTACAACGTTGTTAACGAGAGACTTATGGACGATAAATCCGACACCTCCTTGGGACAGATGGTCGCCCTCCTGGTGATAGAACAAGTTGCCGGATTCGAGGATTACCGTGTCTTCCCCCTCTCTGCGGACTTCGGATAATCCTGTGATATTCCAGCGCAACTTGTCTATCTCTTCTTCCAGTTCCAGGATCTTCTCGTCAGTCCTCAGGGTGCGTGCGTTATACGTTGCCAGGCCGAGTCGTCAAAGGTGGCAACCGAACCTCCACCGGAGATTCTTAGTACCCCCTGCCCCGCCGTTACCATGGTCGCCATCGTAGCCAGGAATAGCGGGGCCGCCGGGGACTGGGGGCCGTCTTTTTGTAACTTTTATCATGGGGGTATATTGCCATAGTTGCCACGCTTGGCAAGCGGGTTGGCAGTTTTTTTATTGTTATTTACCTTATTTTACTAATAAAAATTAATGCAATTGAAGATAAAAAAATCTAAGAATTTAGATTTTGATTAAAATGGAATAATTCTAATTCGATCGCTTAAATAGATGGGTGCAATAAAAATGTATTTATTTAAATTAATTCTATTACAAACATTATATCATACAAAAATTAAATTATGTTATTGGAACGAAACATATTATAAAACAACAATGTACATGATGTATGTCACCAAATGTTTAGGGAACCGAAAACGATATCATGTATGAACGTTAATAAAATATAATAAGTGACGGAGATAATTAATTACGTTATCATAAAATTAATATGAAGTTACAGAAGAAAATGATGAGCTTGATTCTTTTTGCCATTGGTATGGAACCCAAAAATGATTAGAATAGAATCATTTTTTTTTTCAATTCAGATTACAAAAATACTAAGTGAAAGTCAATTAAGCTTTACCATTGGTTCGGAAAAAACCACTCTCCTGGGAAGAGCCAGCAAGAATTCCAGTGGAACTTTTTTTAAATAAAATTAATTTACAATATATTATTTTAGACAACTAGTATGAAAACATTTAGAAACAGTATGGTAATGATCACCTCGTTCCCAGGGGTTATTATCAATCATGTACTCTTTAGAAGTATAAAAAAATTTTTGCTTAGTAAAAATTTTAAACTTTTTGACAGATAAGGCCTACATATTTTCTGGGGCTTTGTTGTAAAAGCGTATACATTGCCCCCTGGACTCGAGTAACTGGCATAACTAACTATCTTATGCTTGTTCCTAGTATTTACATTCTGCATGTATGAAGTATTTTTTAAAACCACTACTCGATTTTTAATTTTTATTAAGGTTTAATTTTATTTAAATACAATACGGTATTATACGATTTTGACGCTCGGCATTTGATACTTCCTGAAATAGTATAAGCTCGAGAAAAATATGCGTATACATGAATTCCAGAGACATAATGCCGTAGCAATACAAAATACACAGGAGGGAAGAATAGTCGTCGCTTCGGTCAATATGCCGGACGAAGACACCTCTCCCACGTGACGAGATCACGTGGAAGAGGTGTCTTCGTCCGGCATGTTGATTCCATGTTTTATATGACAGCAAAATCAATAAGAGGTCTGGACTTTATACGTACTGTAAAACATGCTCAGTTCTATTAACATTAGTCAAGGGATTATTCAAGTACAGACTCATAGTTACTATAAGTAGTAGACATTTAATTAATTACCTTAAAGTATGGACAATTTCTGAGATAAGATCTTCCTCAGAAGCATTAGCATTTAAGTCTTCAGATACTAGAATTTCTTCATTGTTTTCAGTATTTTCAGAATGTTCTCTATGTAATTCTGCCTCTATTTCTCCTCCTAGATTTTCACTGTTTGTTTTAATTCCAGCAATACCTGAAAAAATACGTATTTATGTTAGTATAATTTAATGTATAGTAAACAGTTCACTAAGGCCGTATACAGAAAGAAAGCCGGCAGCCGGCGCCGATCTACCAGCGCTTATCGGCGCTGGTCTATTCTGGTAACAGTTACATAAAGCAAGCCGATTGAAGCAGAGCGAGCAAAATTTCGTAATCATCGGACGATGAATTAGTTTTGTTAGAAAATGTGTATTTTAAAATACGAAAATAAGCTATACATCCTATTAATAGAGAAAGGAAACGTTTCGGAGAATACCATCATTTAGTTGTAAAACAATTGAAATTTGATGATCAAAAATTCTATAGATATACAAGAATGACTCAAGAAACATTTTATTACATTTTGGACTTAGTGGAAAAACATTTGATGAAAATTGGTGTAATTGGCATAAACAACCAATCCTTCCAGAAGAAAGACTGAGTACGAAAAAATATATTTATCGCTTAGTTATTAAAAGATAAAGTTATTAGATTTATAAAAAGATTATATTAAAAAAATGTTTAAGAAAAGATGTTTATTTGTCCATTAGTCAATTTTTACAAAATATTCGCCTTAGAACTGTAAAGCTCTGTAACAAATAATAATTTAAAATGTTTAAACGTGGTTTAAATATGCACTTGTACAGTCAACAGCAGATCAAGCGTAACACATTGAGATTTGTACCGACCTTATTTGTAATAAGAGCGATTTAAAAAAATATCTAAGTGTATCCTTGATATGCCGTCTTCCGTAAAATCAACACGTCACTATTCATTTCTCTATTTAACAAAAATATATACATGTTGTAGTTGTACGTGTTGTCATATAGTTGTTCATATTTTAAATGGCAGACGGCGCCAGCGCTGACAGACGCGTGTCGAAGATTGTCGGAACTTGTCGGCGACGTTAGGCGCTTATCGGCGCCTTTTCATATAAATGCCTGCGCCAGTTACCTGCGTGGACCGGTCCCTATAAGCGCTGATAGGCTGCCAACTTTCTTTCTGTATACGGCCTAATGTATTAAAAATCATAGTATCCAAACAAATCAGCCTACACATGGTACAGACACGAAAGTCTAAGAGGAGGACGATATTGGTATTGGAATGCTCTACTTGCTCTATAAATCGCTCTTCCTACCTTCCGCAATTTAAGTCTGTGCGTCTGAGAAGGAGAGTTATCCTGTCCTGACTCTGGGAAGAAAAGGGGAATTCTGTGTCGACAAGAATACCATTGCATGTGTGAATTGAGTTATTGTAAAACACACAGATTAGAATTGGTCATAGTAAAGCTTAAATTGTTGACCACTCTCAATTGTCTGCTTTAAGTTGTTAACTCAAGACGAGTAGATCTCTGGGATTCCACTTATTCTTACTACCACATACATTCAACCACATTAAATCATTACCCCAAAAGATAAATTTAGAACTGCAATATTTTAATAAAATTCATACCTTTAGAAGGTAGAGTAGGAGTGTCTCTTCGAACACGACGACGTCTTGTTTGATCATTTTGACGCACTTGCAAGTTTTTTTCAAAATCTACATGATATAAAGCTCCAGCTAGGAGGAGCTTACATTGTTTATCCCCTCTGATAAAAGCAGCTTCTAAATCACAATTACTCCTTTCATCATATTTCCACCAGCCTGCGAACCAGAGAGAAAAACTATAGAAAAATAAATTAGTAAATAAAAACAACTAACAGAACAAAATATAACTAAAATTATACCATTTCTTCCTTCATAATACCACTGATAATCGTGAGTCCTGCAATCTGTTGAATTTTTTTCACATGGTATGTTGTCCAACAATACTGGATTATTTAAATAATCATGAGGTATCTCAGTACGACACATGGCACATTTCTTGCTTTGTATTGCAATGCCCTGTTAATTAATAAAAACATTGAAAAATTTATTAATAATCTTCGGTGGTTTTATGGTCACCAAAATTTTTACACAATAGAGCCATGCTGCAACTTATGGTTTTAAGCATAAATAGACTGGTTTGACTGGGGAAGAACCCTCTCTCTCTCTCTACCTGATATTCACTTAGAATATCAGCATAAGAGAGCAGCATAATGTTACTGAATTTTTACTGGTAACTAATCATTTCAACTAAATTATCAGAGGTGGCAATGCATTGTATTTTAATTCTCAAACGTGTCTATTTTTAATACTCTTAAAGGCCTTCTACACGGTCGGGACCAACCACCAACCGTCGTGACCTTGGTCGAGTTGATGTAAAAATGCACAGTGTAGACATCGGTTGTCTGACCAATATTTTGGTAGATGTCCGACGGCCTTGGTCACGAGCGCATCACTCACGACACGTCGGGTCAGTGGTTGACGCCGACCGTGAGGAAAGCTGTTGGCCGACGAGTCGACGAGAGCGCCAGGCGGCAGGCACCTCAGTGCGCGCTTGGCAGTCGTCGCGGGCGAACGTTTAACGGTACTATGGAAATGATGTAACGTACTAAATCTCAGATCTTTATAACTTCTTCCCGTAGCCATAAATCTTAATGTAGCTATTAATCGTTCTTCAGCAGACACGGCATGACACATTATTATTATTATTACAGCTTTATTTAGTCGCTCGCTCCTTAAGTAGAGAGCGGTTGCGTCATCGGTCTGTATAAAAGGCACTTGTTTTGGCTCGCCGCTCCCTTAGCGGTTAGCCACCGTAGAGTCTATATCACCTGAGGATGCCTCGTGTAGAGGCGAAACACGTGTCGTATTATCGTCAGTGGTGTGTCTTGCCTAGTGTAGTGGTGTTGGGAGTAGCGGTGCTGGGATTAGTGGTGACGGGGATAGTGCACGCTATTGAGGGAGGGCGGGAGGTGCTCTTCATACTAGGTAAGACACATCATTTTATTTTATAACGCGGATATTTGCGAAGTAAATTTTTCTAAAAGCTTTTATATAATGGATTTCCGCAAAGTAACGCCTGATTCTATTAATTATACTTTTTTGATTGCTTCTTCCAGTTTGTCACTGAAGGATTGTACAGTCTTATTTTCCTTTAGAAATTCTTGCAATATTGGTAAGTTCTTTTTTAGGTTTTGTATGTAGTTGTTTTTATCATGTGTGGAGTTCAATTTATTGGGCACGGTTTTGAATGATCCTCGGCTACTTTTAGGTTTTTGAATTTTTATAGGGCATCTTAGCATCCTGTGGTCAGACGGGAAGCTTATTTTGTTCAGAACTTCTACATTAGTTACAGATTTTGGGTTGTGGCTCAGTATAAAGTCAATTTCGTATTTTGTTTTATGATCTGGTGATATCCATGTCCATTTTCTGGAACTTTTCTTCTTGAAATATCTGTTCATCACTGCCAACTTGTTCTCATGTGCATATTATATTAGGCGTTCACCTCTAGCGTTCCTTATGCCGTAACCATACTTGCCCATTATAAGATTTTCATGAGGTTTAGGTTGTCCAATTTTTGCATTAAAATCTCCAATGATTAACCTGTTTTTATCAGCCAGTTCTTGCGCTCTTGTTAAGGCATTGTAGAATTTTGTGATTTCTTCTTCACTTGAACTATCAGTGGGAGAATATACTTGTATCAGCGATAGTGGTCCCTCCTCGAAGTTCAGTTTTAAAAGAGCCACTCTCTCTGATATACCCAAAAAGCTTAATATGTTGCCTTTTAGTGATTTCTTTATTAAGAAGCCTACGCCATGAAGTCCCTGTGTCTCTCCTATATAAACCAGAATATGTAGTCTTTATGTTCTTCAATGATATATCCTATCTTTTTAACTTCTGCGAGTCCTATGATGTCCCATTTTATTTTTTCTATTGTATTATTTAGTTCTAAAGTTCTTTTCTTTGTTGATAGGGATCTCACATTGAATGTGCATATTTTAAGGTCTTGTTCTCTTCTTGATTTTAAACTCTTGCTTTTGTTTGCATAACTAGGGTTGTTTTTATTTATATTATTCTGTTTGTTATTTGATGAAGGGTAGTGGTCATCTTGCCCCACAGTGACCAGCCGGCATTTTTTTTATTTAATGAATCAACATAAAAAAAAACCTTAAATTAATCAAACACGGTGTCGCAAAAACCTAACAAGGTTTATCTGTACACCATGCTTCATCGACGGCACTCGGTGCTGCTTAACCTACGTACGGACATTGTCTCGTACATATTACGGCAAATACTTATAACATGCTTTAAAATCGTAGCGAAGATCCACATGCTCACAATACGTATATTCACGGGTAGTAGAAATATGTCAATACTCAGACGCACAAAACCGGCTAGCAAATGAACGTACACAGAGTGTTTACAAGCGGTAGATTTTAACTGTACTATGGTTGCTAGTTAATCTCCGTTTTGATAATGTAGTATTATAACACATAGAATATCATCGATATCTATGTATAATATGTACATTTTTTACTTTGATAAATATGATATAGTTATTTAGTAAGATGCTTTTTTATTTCATCTAAATAATGTAGTTTTAATATTCTTTTTATATTTTGCATAGTAATGTCATTTTTAAGTGTAATTCATTTATTAGTTTGGGTATAATATAGGCAAGTCGTTGTCTTCCGTAATGATTTTGAGATCGTGGTATTGTCAGCAAAGCCTTTGACACACTGCGAGTGTGTTTTTTATGATCAATTAGGTGTTGTATATCGTTATTAAAATACTGTTCGTTAAGTAAAGTTAATTTAACTTTCTCATGGACGGGAATTATTTTACAGTAACTAAATAGACCATCATAATTGTTTCTGTACTTGTCTTTTACGTGAGGTGATACGATGGCTTTAAGAATTCTTAGCTGGAGTTGATAAATTAGGTCTAGGTGCGATTTGTATGTCCGTCCATAACTACTCAGCCCGTAGGATATGACAGATTCTCCTAATGCTTTGTACAGCATTATTTTCGTTGAAAAGGGTATTTTCCATTTAATTAGTAAAAATTTTGCCAAAATTGCTCTCAATTTATCGCAAACAGAGTTAATGTGATCGGTCCATTTAAAGCGGTCATCAATGACTAGTCCAAGATATTTTTGCGTTTTTACTACTTCTACGGGTTCACATGCGCAGTTGATATGGTCTGAGTGAAGGCAAGCGTGATCGTAGACGATTAATTGAGGACTTGTATTAATCCTATTTTGAAATATTTACCTATATTTGAAAGAAAATGCAAAGAGATGCAACATCTCTTCGCAGCGCAAATGAGTCGAGCCGATCGGAAAGGACTCCGTTGTCGACGATTCGAACCGCTCTGCGCTGGATGCGGTCAAGTGGAAGGAGCTGGCCTTGGGGAGCCCCAGCCCAGAGATGGGAACAGTATTCCATGTGAGGCCGAACCTGCGCTTTGTAAAGTTGCAGGCGTTGAGCCGACATGAAATACTGTCCCGCTCTGCTGAGCACGCCAAGCTTTTTAGAGGCCAATTTGGCCTTCTCTTCCAAGTGACCACGAAACTGCACGTCATTCGATATGTCGACGCCGAGGATTCCGATACTGGCTGAGGCAACAAGGGGAGTACCTTGAAACTGAGGAGATACGACAAAGGGGTTCTTTTTAGCGGTAAACGCGCAAACTTGTGTCTTCTGAGGATTAAACTGGACTAGATTTAGTCGCCCCCAATCCGAGACTTTGTCCAGCAAAGACTCGACTTCAGACACAAGTTTGTTCCGGTACTCGGTGACGTTTTCCCGAGAAATATTGGCACGGCCGGTGTATAGAGCATCACCAGTGCTGTCATCCGCATAGCAATGAATGCTACCGCCTTGCAACATATCATTGATATGCAGAAGAAACAGCATTGATGATAGCACGCAGCCTTGTGGAACACCAGCGTTAATAGGCTTGTAGTCGGAGCATGCACCGTCTACAACGACCTTGATGCTCCGATCAGCAAGAAAGCTGGTGATCCAATTGCATAATTTCACGGGAAGTCCATAGGAAGGGAGCTTCGAAAGAAGCGCTTTGTGCCAAACCCGATCGAAGGCCTTCGCAATGTCCAGACTAACGGCCAATGCCTCCCCCTTGGACTCTACTGCCTCCGCCCATCTATGAGTTAAGTAGACCAGAAGATCACCAGCTGATCGACCCCGACGAAAACCGTACTGGCGGTCACTAATCAGCTGGTGATCCTCAAGGTACTGCATGAGGTGGCAGTTTATAACCCTTTCGAACCTGACCGATATGATTGTGCGTCTTACTTTTAAGAAAATATTAAAATACTAAAACGTCTATTTCACTGCACCAAACCGGGCTGCATGAATCCTGCGCTTAACAAACGACCGTTTTATACATTAGCCCTTACAGTTTTCGGATTTCATTATTTTGGAGAACAAGGAGGTGAAGGCCTGTAGTTGGACGGGTCTGAGCGGTCGCCATTTTTGAGGGATCGGGTGGACAAAAGCTGTCTTCCATGATTTCGGGACTACGCCTAGGGAGTAGGTGTACCGGAAAAGACGCGTTAGAACCGGTGCCAACTCCGGAGCACACGTCCTCAGCACAATTGGGGGGATTCCGTCAGGCCCACTCGACTTGTGGATGTCAAGGGAGAGGAGTGCTCTGCGAACCGAGCGCTGTGAGAACCGCACATCCGGCATGGAGCACTCACACCGCGGGATGGTCGGCGGTGTGTTCTCCCCGTCATAAACAGTCGAGTTGGACGCAAAAAGGGAGCCTAAAAGGTCGGCTTTCTCTTTTGCGTCGTGGGCCAGTGAGTCGTTCTCCCGGTGCAGAGATGGTAGTGATGGCTTACAGAAATTCCCTTGGACAGCCTTGGCGAGAGACCAGAATTCACGGGTTCCCGAAGGAAGGCGAACTAGTTTCTCGCCAATTCTGCCTATGTGCTCTGACTTTGCCTTGGCAATAACTCTTTTGAAGGACCTGGAGCTGAAGTTATACTTTTTTTTAAGTGTGCTGGTGTTTACATCCCGAGTCGCCGAAGCCGCAGCCCAGGCTTGATAACACTTCTGCTTACTGCGTAATGCAGTCTTACAGGAGCGACCAAACCAAGGCTGAGATCTGCCTCCGATGGGTACCACAGATAATGGAATAAATAGTTCCATTCCCTGTAGCACCACATCAGTGACAGAGTCAGCAACGGCGCTGGGATCATCCGGCGAGAAGCAAACCCATTGGTAAGAAGCAAAGAAAGACCGCATTCCGTCCCAATCCGCCGACTTGTAATGCCAAACACGGCGGCAACCTGCAGAACGCAACCGCGAGGGGAGTGTGAGTGGCACCACACTCCGGATCAGACAATGGTCCGAAGAGCCAAGAGGGGCATCGACAGAAACCTGATATCCCTCCGGATGAGAGGTCAGCAGAAGGTCCAACAGGGAAGGTGTATGATCCTCAACATCTGGAATCCGCGTAGGCGATGTAACCAGTTGTGTCAGACCATATACCAAGGCAAAGTCATAAACAGATCTCCCCGCATGATCGGTTAAACATGAACCGAGCCATTCGGCATGGTGGGCGTTAAAATCGCCAAGGATCACGATCTCTGCGGATGGGACCTGTTGTAGCAAGGAATCTGTAGCCATTTGGACGTGGTCGATGAGTCCGTTTGTTTCGGCATTACCGCTATGGGACCTATAGAGGCACCCGTAGAAGCGCGGATGGTCGTCGCTGTCTACGCGTAGCCAAAGGATGGACAGGTCCGAACCTTCAAGACTGCCGAGGCGTCGAGAACAGATGTCCTCTCTGACATACACGCAAACTCCAGCCCGAGGCACAAAGGAATGCTCCAATTTGTACCCCGGGTAGGAGAGATACGAAATATCAGCCGGAGAGGAAACCTGCGTCTCGGTCAGAAAGAGCAAGGCCGGCTTCGCCGTCTCGAGATGGTAGTGGACGGCGTTTAGGTTAGAGTGAAGTCCCCTGACGTTGCAGAAATTCACGGATAGCGTGGCAGGGGTCGCATTGGTGTTCTTGCTCAGTTTGCCCCAAGCAGTTATGTTTTTGAGCGGAATTTTGCCCCCCCCAAGAATACGCCCATTTTATAAATAATTTGTCCCTATAGTTGCATGCCGTATGTATTTTTTTATTCATCCAATTATCGTTATTACATCTGTAATCATTTTTAATTTGTATTAGCGATTTATTATAACATGTCTTAATGTTTTTTAATATCAAAGAATACAATTTCAAAGAACAAAAGATATGTTTAGTATTTTGCCAGTTGATATCCTGTAATTGCGAAACAAGTACTTTATTATTATATTTTGCCTTAAAAGTTTGAACAGCCTGTGTACGCACTCTGCCAGTTCCGATGCATGCTAAAACTATTGCACGGTGGTCAGCCAGTTGAGTACCGTGAGCCGCTGTATACAAGCCTTGTGTGCGGGATCTCGCATAGATATGATCGATACAAGTCTTGCTTAATTTGCAGTTAGCAATTTCAATTCTTGTATATTGTGAGATTCCACACATTAGAACATAGGTGTACAATGCAGTATTATATTTATGTTTTATAGGACTACTTATTTTAAGATCTATGTTTACATCACCTAACATAAATAAGTCATGATTCTTATTTACAGTTTTAAGTGTGCATTTATAAACAAGTGTTTACTAAATGAGGGTGAGCGGTATATTGCTGCTAACGAGTTGCGGAATATTTATTTGGGGTGGTTATTTGGCCTAAAATGCATTCAAAGTAGCGTGTTTTTTTATTATGAACTCTAAATTTATGTTTCTTATGAATGTACATAATAATACCTCCTCCTTTACGATTATTTCGCAACTCTGTGTACATATTATACCCTTCCATCTGGTACAATGAGCTGAGTGATGATGATATATTTGCTTCAGTAACAATTATTTATCTTTCAATTTCGTACATGAACTAATTATTTCCTCAAGAGCAGAAAAGTTTTTTATAAGTGAACGTATGTTAATATGTAAACAAGATAGATTAATATTACTAGGTAAATTATTTATAAAGGTTTGGACATCGATACAGTTTTTAATCTCTGTTATATCGGAGTGTAAGCTATTCATTAAGGAAAAAGTACTCATACACAATTTTTAACGTATTATTAGTTTGTAATATATAAATACCTATTTATTCTCTCAGCTGTTTAATATCATTTATAGAGTGGATGATGATAGGTTTTTCATTCTGCCCTTCTTTGCGTACACGAAGAACTCCCTTCTTCATCCATATATATTTAAAGGTACTCTTAAGTTCTTGCTTCGCGTTCCATAGTAAGTGCTTGTTGTAGGCTGTCAAAACTTCTCTGATTATTATTGAATTAAATCCTAGTGAAGTAGTTTCGACATCGCTTTTAGCTTGCTCTGTTATGACTCCCTTGGCAGCAGGGACAGGGATTTTTTTGGTTATTTGTTTGTATGCCTCCAACCATTTATCTTGAGTGATTTGTGACTTTAATTAAACCCTTATTGGTCCTGTATGTTCTTTCTTGCCAGGTAAACGTTCAGCATGAATGACGTCGCTAGTAGGTTGTTTTAGCTTACCTGCTATCTCTTGAGCAAACACCATAGGATCTTCATTGTCTTTTTGGGTTAAATTAACAATTTCAACACACATAGCAAGCTTGTGTTGCTCCATATCTTGCATGCGTTGCTCAATGGCTGCTAACCTAGTTTCCAAATTATTATTTTTATTTGTAAGTTCGATATTTTTGTTTTTCAGTTCAATAATTGTTTTTTGGCAAGCTTCTAGGTTCTCCATGGCTTCGTCTACTTTTTCTGTATGGAACTGGAGTGTCTGATGTATGTCTGTGGTGCTTTTTTCCAAGGTTGGTTTGAACAATGTTGTCATATTTGTTTTGATCTTGTTTCGGGTGCTGGTGGTCATTGCTAGTTTTTTGAGGTTTCAGATAGTGAGGCTGTTCTACCTCGTTCGACATAGTTACGAATCTTATTAGGTTTTATCATTTCTTTTGAGGCACTCTTGGCAAATGGTGGTTTTGAAGTTTCTTTCAAGTTTATTTTCTTTTGGGTTGATGAGTTTGGTGAACCTGAATCTTCTCTCTTTCTTTTATCTCTGGTTTTGTCAATTGGTTTCTTCATTATCAGTTTGTCATATTTAAGAAAAGCGATATTTCCTTTCTTCCTTTCCTCTTCTAGTTGTGGTTGTAGCTGCTTCCGCTTTTCAAGTATTTCTTTAGTATAATCCTCTTTGACATTTATACCTGGTGGGAGATAGACGCTATGGTGACTACGACGGGGCCTCTTATTGTTGTTTTTGCCGATTCTGTATATGTTTTTGATTTCATGGCTATCTATTTGTGTTCCTGTTTCTATTATTATGTCTTTAATGTAGTCTACCGTCTCTGCTTCTGTTTTACCTGACTCCTCAATTCCAAAAAATACCAAGTTATATTTTCTTTTTTCCAGTTCTATTATGTTAAGTTTGTGCTCCAATGTAGAAATTTTGGCTTTGAGTTTAGTATTTTCCTCAGTTATTGTTTTTAATCTCTCATCTATTGCCTCCATAACATTTTTTGTTACCGCCGTTGTTATAATTTCAGTTTGGTTATTTAGTTTTTCGTCCAAATTTGACAACAGCAACTCCATGCTTTTGTCCATTTTTAGGGTATTATATTTGTTCTGGCAATACTGGTTCAGTAGAAATTAATTTCTTAGTTGGCCTAAAGGTCTAGATACCAGGCAATAAACTCCAAAAAAAAATATGCTTGACACATAACTGTATTTTTTTTTTGTAATCATTGGATGCACCATCTCAAGCAATTCATTAAAAGTATCTTAATCCATTCTTAGAAAATTCCGAGTCTTCAGAATTAAGAATCTTTAAAATATTGAGATGGTTTAAAGTAATGCGCTCTTTCAGCCACAATTTCATCCATTTTCTTTTTTTTTCATCTTCGCTCAAGCACAGAAACGTTAACGCTAAACCTTTGACGACTCCGTGGCGCAGTGGCTTAAAAATGAGTTGATGCGCTGGGGGCCACGGGTTCGAATCCCGCACGGAACATGTATCTGTATGGCCTAAAAATAATTGCTCCGGGTCTGGATGTTTGTCCTCGTACAATCTATGTTTGTAAACTACCTCCACAATACAGGATAAAATTCTAGCGTGTGGGTAACGTTTTTTTAATAAAAAAAAACTATTTTTGTTGTTTAGAAAAGCAAGGAGTCATATTTAAAAGTAACTACCTAACGTCTTTACGGTTTGAATACCGGAGAGAATTGACAAGTTGAGTCAATCACCCGACCGTGTAGAACGAATACAAAAATCGTTTGTCCCAACCAAGGTCAAGAGAGTTGGTGGTTGGTTCCGACCATGTAGAAGGCTTTTTACTTTACCACGACATAAATGCTAGAAGATTATTTTCTTTATTTGATAACATATATATAATACATAAGTGTAATTTGTCAAACTGAGTCTAATAAATTATTATTATTATTATTATATGTACCTATATATTAATACATTGCTGTCTGTTATAAATAATTTAATTTCTCTGTGTGTAACATATCCATAGTTTAAACATTATTGCCACAAAATAAAGAATACAAGTAATATTAAATATTAAGACTTCTTACCTTCACACATAAAAAGCAAAATATATGTCCACAGGGAAGTTTTGTAGGATGATTATATTTTTCTAAACAAACACCACAAGCTTGTTCTGCAAAATTATGAATGACAATGACACAATTCTAATAATATGTTAGGCTGAAAAATTAAAGGCATTAAACCAAAGGTCTTTACCATCAATAAAAATGTATTATTAATAACAATATTATGATGTTAATATCCAAATATTTTTGGCATTAATTAGATCGTATGATGGCAAACATTAAATGATAATTAACTAAGAAAAAAACCAGTTTGCTTTTCATTTTGAAAACAAAAAGTAAATTGCTTTAGTGTACCTTACCTCGAAGCTCATCTTGAACGTCGACCATTATTAATATTCCTTACTATTTACAAAGTAATATAATAAGAAATGAACTATTTTAACGTATACGTTCCAAATGATTCCTGTATATATTAAATTATAATTTCTTGTATATACAATGTACTTAGATATTAGATATAGATAAATATTAAACACAGATAACTGTATACAGATATTAAATAAATCTGTCAAATTTATTATAGCTTGATAATCACAAACTATATAGTTCTCTATATATAATGTACTCTGTGCTATATAGAAACACGACGCGTCTTGGCCTAAAGGTCTAGATGCCAGGCCATAAACTCAAAAAAAAAACTACGCGTTCTTGATAATTTTGATGGTATATAGTGTATTATCTATGACGCCCCTTTAGGGATGATCGATGATCATCGATGTCAAAAATGAAAACATCGATGTTGCCACATGTCAAACATCGAAACATCGATGTCAATAAACCCATAATTGATTATTGGGTACTTGCGAATCCGCGAAATCAATATCAACTAAATCTTGCATCTCCTCTAAAATATTTAAAATTTTGAATAATTCAGAACGCTTGAACGCATCGATAACCTAAAAATATATCATTATGGGGTATCAAATTTAACTGTCAAGTGTCAACTGTAATGTCGCAGTTGTCACTGATTTTTTTTTCTGGGTAAACTGATTTCGATGATTTTTTTAATTTGAAATTTGGTGCTTTACATTTGGTCGCATATAAATTAGACCCATATAAGTCTGACCAATAGTTTTTGAGTTATCCTTAAGTCATCAGTTGTACAAAATTTCATTTTTAAATTATTTTCAATAACTGGCTCAACTCTTTATCAACAAAGAAACAGATTGAAAGGAACTTCTTTGTCAAAATTACTATTTCTTCAATAAATCTGCAAAAATATTCGACAATATAACTAGTGAATTAGATAATTGTGAACTTCTTCTAATTTTTTTAATAACTGTTTTATACTACATTGTTTATTAATTTCTTTTATTTAATTAATTATAAATCATAAACAACATGACAATTTTTTTATTCATCTAATTCTAACCTATTAAATACATGTGCAAAAAACATCGATAATGGCCAACATCGATGTTTTGAGTAGAATAAACATCGAACATCGATGTTGTGGCGGGTGGAAGGAAAAGGGGAGATTTCCCACCGGACAAGGTGTGCTGCCCGTGGAGCGGCCAACGCTCCGATAGCTAGTTCGGAGCTATTCTATATATGCTGCTTTAACTTCGGAACTTTGTTAACGCGATTTAGACTTCGACGTGTTTCGCTTGTGGCGCGACTACAGCGCCACCACATCACCCCCCTGCTCAGACCGGAGGTCGATAGTGCAGCCCAATTAATGCCGGTGGGGAATGCATGCTCTGTGCGTAAGGGCAAGTGACGTCGGTGCGAGCGATATACCGGTGTGTAATGTATGCCATACTACTCAATTGCAAGTGACGCCGTTGAGAACGATGAGCCGGACCAAGTGCCAGGTATTGCCTTGTAGTCTTTGGTGAGTCGAGACGAAGGCAAGTAATCTGCGAGAGTGCCGTGAAGCAGAGGTGAGCAGTAAAGCTCAGAGTCGTGCCGAACACTGTAGCGCAGAGAGTAGCTTGAAGGAACAGGAAGCATTATTTTTCCAGTGCTGCGATGAACCTTTGTAAAGCTAGATGGCTTGCAGAATGTGAAGACTGCAGACAATATCAGCTCGGGAGCGAATGAGTGGGGTACTTGAGGATGATGACGAAGGTTTGAAATTGTAGTTTCCGAAGGTTGTTGGTTGCGTGTTCCTATCACGTCGATTGGTCACCACTGTGGCGGGTGGAAGGAAAAGGGGAGATCTCCCGCCGGGCATTGTGTGCTACCCGGGGAGCAGCCAACGCTCCGATAGGTAGTTCGGAGCTATTCTATATATGCTGCTTTAACTTCGGAACTTTGTTAGCGCGATTTAGACTTCGACGTATTTCGCTTGTGGCGCGACTACAGCGCCGCTACAATGTTGAGCTATTGATGTCAACATCGATGTCATCATCGATGTTTCTACAACATCGACCATCCCTACGCCCATTACACGGTAGGTTTTGCTGTCAGTTTTACAACAATCACGGTTGTGATTGACGAATAACCTACCGTGTAATGCGATGATTGACGGTTGCATGAAATTGATTGACAAATATATGGATATTTTGATTTTTACGTCAATCAACTATCAGTCACGAATTTTGATTGAACGTGTAATGGCATTTCGTCAATCACGCGTCAGTCAACGCTCAGACAGCAATGGAGGCGGACGCAGAATATATTGAAGAGGCGGCTTCCAAGTGCTTGTTCATCCCGTCGCCACTCCTGCCAAACATGCTTCAGCCAGAAATTTTGAGGCTCTCCCCAAGTTGTGGGACACGAAAAACCTCGGGTATGGTGGATGCCCCTAATAACAGCCACGCCCCTAATTCCAGCCTTTCCGCCTTTTTACTTCGTAAATAAGATTTCTAATAGTCTTAACTACAACTATTGTCGGCTAAAAAATTCTTCGTAAATAGGGGAAAATATAATTCAAATATTACCTCACAGTTTTATACCTCACAGTGTTAAATTAAAAAGCAAAACATGTACGCAACTAAATACGCTCATTCTCCTAATGTTTGGTCCCGATACAATTAAGCATATTTTACATTAGCTCATCTTTAGGCTTTTTGATTTGTATGAATGTGACTATAGACATTGTAATGCAGCTATTTTTGTTTAAACCTGTAAGCTTTTTATTTTATTTTAGTAGAAATTAATGGGGCTATAATTAGATATACGAAATGTATGGAGACAGCCGCCCGGTTGTTATTTGGTTTGACGTACATAATAAGAAGTAACTAATTTCAGCCACATAATATAAATCAGAGCTGTCATAAACTGGAATAAATACCATTAATTAGAATATAACTTATTTTATAGTTAAGGAAGTTATGAACAATTCGTCTATATTTTAAAATTGGTTTTTTGATATAAAAGTTTAGCAAATGATACGTACCTACTTGCTTTTCAGACATTTGGTATATGTTAAGAACACCAAACACTATTTAATTATTTTTTGAGAAAGACAAAAACAAACAATAAATGTAATTAACAACAACTTAGTAATACAAATTTCACTATAACTTAAGAACATAAATGAAAAAGTCATAACAAGGAAAGTGGTTCAGGACCATGCTTTGCGGCAGTCTATGGAGGATGATGTTCTGTAGTGGACTTGTGACGGACTGAAATGATGATGAAGATTCAAAAACTTAGATAGTATATAGTAAGCTTATTATTCGTCCATAAATGCGTTTCAAATAAAGCCGCGTATCGATTATGCGCTCCAAAAGGTCGAACATTGGCGCGCGTTAAATTAAAATGGGTAAAATGATATTAAATATTACAATTTTTCCTATTCGTTTTTTTTTCTTTTTCTTTTCAAGATATTAAATTACAGTTAAATAGTGAATCGAAAATGAACTTAGTTTAAAGGTAGGTCCTTGATCTCCGAAAATTTGGGTTTGACTGACATCAGTCAGCATGAGCGTGTAATGTGCGTGTAATGGGCGTAAAGGCTGGTGCAACTTCTATAGTAAAAATGATATGTACTACAGGGGTCAAATTTTAATGACGGTTATCTCTTTTTTCTGCTTTTCGTAATATGTCTGTTAACGACATTGTCAAATCAAATAAGTTCAAATGTCAAATCAAATAATTATATTTGTATATATTTTATTTATTAAGATTGCTTTTAATTTTGCTATGGGAGCCGTTGTTCATTTACAGAATTGTTAAGAAATTAAATATGCATTATAAAACTTTGCAATGAAATGGTGCAAGAATCGGAAAAAATGATAACAAGAAAAGGTTATTTCTTTATATTGAAAGGTATGTGGTGATTTCAACTTTATTAGTAATATGATATTTAACGCGAGTACATTTTTGACTAGCCATCTACGTAGGACAGGTTTTTATAGTGTACGACTGTGAGCACAAATACAAACACACTATTTCCTAAATCTGATAGTTCGATGGTATGGCAATCCGAAACGAACTATACTTAGAAACTACACAGTCAATTGTGCCTGCACACCTATTTGATCAACATCCTATTTGTTCAATAAAATTATATTATTTTTTCAGATGCAAGCAATGGGTGAAATAGCTGGTACCTGCACCAATTGAAAAGATTCACATGTTAAAACATATTTGTGGCAAACATTGCATTTGAACCCAACTAAAACGAACTGTTATTTCATCAGTGGACTTAATTTAAACTTGCACAATTATGTGTATGTTAAATAGGTTTCATTTACATGTAGCAAAAGATAATATCCCTCTAAAGTCACATTTTGGTAAGAATTAGATTATATAAATAAACTCAAAGTTATTTGTAAGTTGTACCTGGTTATAAATATTTTTTTATAGATTCATCTACAAACATTAGCTATAATGAGCACTCATTTTGAAAGCGATAATTAGTAAACGATCTCTGCGAATAGTATGTACATAGGTACCTCAGTGAAGAAGCATAGTATTTATTACACATTAAAGCTATTTAATCCAATCAGTGTTGAAAACCCAATATTTTTACCCTTTAAAAAAAACTAACGTTGTAAACAAGCATCCAGGTGCAGAATATACTTGTACAGTGCGGGAACGAAGCCTCGGTCCTGCAGTGCCGAAGCCAAAAGCTTAGCCACGGCGCTACGGAGTCGTTATTTATTTTTTACTTAATTAGTTACTAGTAAAATAGTGCGTTTTTTATTTTGTATTTTTATACATATATTTGTGCATAATATTTGTTGAGATATAATTACAAATTGCTGTGTGTAAAATACATTGATTTCTTATCCTCATCGGCATTTTTACTTAAGCCCCATGTTAAAAAAAATATTTCTCATAATTCATTATGGAGATCTAACTTTTATTATGTAAAAATATCGATAAACAATATATCGATAAAATCATTCGAGGATAGACATTTAGAGACATTTCTCAAAACCTTAAAACGAAATTATGCAACCAATGCGTGTTGCCAGTGATGACTTACGGATCTGAGACGTGGTCCTTTACTGCTGGCCGTATGAGGAAGCTCACGGTCGCTCAGCGAGCTATGGAGAGGGCTA